AGTGAGGCTTTGGCACTCCTAGGATTCCAGTGAGCCACATGATAGGAAGAACATGCATTTCTTTTCTTGTGTTCTTGTCTAGCAAAAGGATGGGAAAGGGCTTCTTGAAATGGATATAAGAAAGTGAAGGTTGAGAAAGACAATGAGACTTTCCTCAATGCCACTATCCATGATCCCAAATCAAGAGACTTGAAAATTCACCTATGCTCATTGTGATTATTATCCTACAAGCCATCAGCTTGAATGGAAACCTGAAGGACAAAAGCAGTAGAATAAAGCCAGAGCAAAACCAGTGAAGATAAAACACTGACCCAGTAGTGAAAGAAATGAAACCACTTTGACCCATTAGCTACAGCATAGTGATTAGACAGACAAACAAATAAACAAACACAGAAAGAGGGATGTGAATAGTGACCTGCTTTGTAGCTAAAGGACCAAAGTTTTGCTTTGAGAGTAGAAGGGATAAAATGTGTACAGAGCTCATTCATTCACTCAGAAATAAGCACCTACTATGTGTCAAGCATTGCTCTAGACGATGAGGATGCAGCTGTAAATGAAAAGGACTATCCTTTTCCTTTAAGAGTTTATACGACTGTAGGTATGCAGTCAGTGATCAATGAACACCTGCCTCAAAGACAGTGTGATTTTGAACACCAGTAAGAAAAACATTTAAATGGAAATTAAGATTTTTGCCATTAGAGATGGAATCACATCAAGCAAGCAGAGTAATCATGGCAGGCCTTTTTGAGAGATGATGCTGGAGTCAAGAACTAGAAGTCGCTAGGACTAAGGATGAATATCAGAGAGATGAGTCCTCTAGGCAGCTGGACCTGCAAATGCAAAAGGAGAGCATGCCTGTGGTGCTGTAGGGGAACATGCATGCCTGGTGTGGTGTGGAGATCAATTTAGCAGAAATGGTGACAGATAGAAAGGGGTTTGCAAGACATTCCATAGGCGCATATGTTCAGGGGAGCCATTGAAATGCTTAGAACAGTGGCGATGACTTAGCATTCTGAGGATACCAAAGCAGGTACTTCCACATAACCAATGTTCATGTGGCCTCTTCAGTGATTAATGTCTGTTGCATTCAATCTAATTTCATACAGAAGAATCCCAACAGGACACATAACCCATCTTTTAGGACAGAATATCTATGCAGTTTCTTATATCTTAGGGGTAAGAAATAGAGATTTCTAAAGTCATACAAATAACTTTTACTCTTAGTTAAAATAAACAAAAACAAAACAAAGCAAACAAAAAACACTTTCAGGGAAAAAGGAAGGAAGGAAAGGAAGGAAGGAAGGAAGGAAGGAAGGAAGGAAGGAAGGAAGAAAGAAAGAAAGAAAGAAAGGAAGGAAGGAAGGAAGGAAGGAAGGAAGAAAGAAAGAAAGAAAGAAAGAAAGAAAGAAAAAGAAAGAAAGAAAGAAAGAAAGAAAGAAAGAAAGAAAGAAAGAAAGAAAGAAAGAA